TTCGGCCCCCTCCCCCACACCTCCCCCGTCCTTATTCCCCCCCTCCCCCCGCGCAGGCGGTTGTTGATTATAGGGGGTTTGGGGGCCAAGCCGCTGGGCAGGGGGTGGGGGGGATGGGGTATCCTTCGATCCGGGGGCCAAGCCCGAAGCGGCTCAGCCGGTTGACATTTCTCCTATCCATCCTCCAGCTTGAAATCACCGATTTCCATTTTTAATTGCAATGCCACCCCACCCCCACCCCAACTCCCTTCCAGCTTCTGGGGTGGGACATCGGGATTGGCCCTGGCTAGCCTGCCCCAAGGATGCTGACCAAGAGACGTGTGCCTATTCTACTGTACCATGTCTGTTGTTTCTTCCATCAGCCTTTGCTGTAAAAAACCCCAGGCACCCGGTGAAAAAGTGGTGGCACTGGGCAGGGCATCGAGGCAAAAGGCCAGGGCCCCAAGGGGATGTGCTGCGAGTGGCAGAGGATGGGCTTTTCCTGTGGAGGAACCCAGGATCTGCCTCTGGTCTGAGAGGGCTATGCCATGCCTGCCGGGGCTGGCCTCCTAAGCACAGCATCCACCCCATGCCCACGGGCTCAGAAGCAGCAACATCAAGGTGCCTCAGCACAGATGATGAGATAATGCTGATGAAGCTGATAGTGGGTTAACCATCATAATCACTGTAAAATCGAATCATATTGAACAACAGAATCATAGGATACAAGGGATGGAAGGAAGCTTGGAGATCATTTAGTCCAATTGCTTGCCCAGTGCAGAAATCCATGACTACAGCATCCCCAACAAATGGCTATTCAAACTTTAGTGAAAGTAGGAGTGGTATATCGTATCCCAATGCCGTCAGTTCCCTGGCTGAGAACAGCTCTTAAGCATCTGGAAACTCTTCCTGCTATCCAACCAAATTTGACTTGTAATTAAAATCCCTTGTCTGTTGTCCTGTCTTCGGAAATAACTTTGAATAATTCTGCCCTGTCTTCAACATGACAGTCCTTCAGATGCTTGTAGACAGCTATCATGTCTCATCCCTGTCTTCTCTTCTCTAGACAAACATATGCAATCCCACCAACTGCTATTCATGTTTTTTTTCTTCCTATCTTTTTGATTGCTCTCCTCTGGACATGCTCCAGCTTGACAATGTCCTTTTGAAGACAGAGGCCCAGAATTGGAGGCAATATTCTAGGTGTGGTCTGACCAAGAAAGAATAGAAAGGAACAGTGACTTCTCTTGATCTTGACATTATAGTTGGGTTGATTCAGGGTTGTGTTTGCTGTTTCTTACAGCTGCATCATACTGTTAGCTCATGTTGATCCACCAAGACACCCAGATCTTTTCTGAATGTTCTGCTGCTTAATATGGACTCCCCCATCCTATATTCGTGCCTTTAGTTTTTCCTACCCAAATGAAAGGCTTTGTATTTGTTCCTGATGAAATTCATCTTGCTGGTTTCTGTCTATTGTTCTAGCTTGTTACTGAATATTCCCTCTAAGCCAGGGGCTCGTAAACTTTTTGCCATCACACCTCCCTTTAATGTAATTTTAATGTACACACCTCCCTTAAAAATCTAGAGTCATTTGTATAGCGAGATGGGCGGCATATACAAATTTGACAGACAGGCAGACAGACAGACAGACAAACAAACAAACAAACAAACAAACAAACAAATAAATAA